ACATCTGTAGAAAAATAACAAATAAGAAACATAAAAAAAAAACATTAAATAAAAAATGGTTAATTGAACATAGTGAGTTTATTCAATGCTTAATTATTTAAAATCAATTTGCTGCATTTTCAAATTATCTGCCACTTTTTTTGTTAACATAAGTTTCTGATAATTATCTGTGGATGACACAGATAAAAATATGGATGACACAGATAAAAAATTGTGAATATATTTTATGCATTAAAAAACAGACATTAAAACTGTAAAAAACAAAATTGGGATGTAGCAGCTAACATCAAAATTAAAACAAATTATTGAAATTTTGATAATTCGTTTTCATTTTTATTTTATTTTATGTTAGTTCATCTCCTCAAGGTCATGAAGGCCACTACTGTCAAAGAGGCTACTTAAATTATGGTTATAATCCTCTCTCAACTCTATAACTTTAAAACAAGAACTTTGACAAACAAGGCCATTGCATGGTGAAACTTATTGAGTGCAGTAGTACCAGCATAGTGGGCCAAACAGCTGTTTTCATGGGCATTAGTTGAAAACGTTTGAATAAAAAGTGCTATGGGATGTATAAATATTTATAAATATAAAAAATAAATGTATAAGTATTTATGTATGTTTTGTAAGTTTTTTGGTTTTTTATTGGTTATAAAAAAAATATGTGTAAATGTTTATATGTATGTATGTATGTATATTTTGTAATATGTATGTTTATGTATGTTTTGTAATACAAAGATAACATAAGTAAAAGTTCGTAATTTATTCATAATAACATTTCAAAATGTGTCATCTTCAAATAAAATGTTATTAGAGACATTTTGTTTATGACAATAACTATCAGAATGTCTTCTTTCATTACAAAATTTGCAAATTGGCTTTGACTTATATCTCTTGTCACATATAATTGGATCAGATGATATCCACATTCGGTTAATGGTGTCTGTTAAATTGACAATTTGGAAGTTTTTTCCTACAGAGTCGAATACGTATTGATCTTAATATTTTGTTATTACCTTCTAACCCTGACTCATCAAGATTTCCCTAACCTTTTTCCTCGTTAAAAATTAGCTTCCAAGTATGACCAGTTAGTTTGTGGAGTGATGGTGTTATGAATGATGCTCTCAGTGATTCTTCGATTTTCTTCAAAAAGAAAAATTAATGTGGATCAATATAAAAGCTATTGTACAGATTTCTAGTGAGTTTTCACCTGTTACAAAAATAAATTGACCTGGACCATGGATCAGTCATGGTCCAGGTCAATTTATTTTTGTAACAGGTGAAAACTCACTCACTAGAAATCTGTACAATAGCTTTTATATTGATCCACATTAATTTTTCTTTATGAAGAAAATCGAAGAATTACTGAGAGCATCATTCTGAACCTTTGAAATGTTGCATGATATTGAAATGTTGCATGATATTGAAATGTTGCATGATATTGAAATGTTGCATGATATTGAAATGTTGCATGATATTGAAATGTTGCATGATATTGAAATGTTGCATGATATTGAAATGTTGCATGATATTGAATTGTTGCATGATATTGAAATGTTGCATGATATTGAAATGTTGCATAATATTGAAATGTTGCATGATATTGAAATGTTGCATGATATTGAATTGTTGCATGATATTGAAATGTTGCATGATATTGGAATGTTGCATGATATTGAAATGTTGCATGATATTGAACAGGCAATTGTGCAATAATTAAATCCCTGTTTGATTTTTTGTGCAAAAGTTCTCTAGCTATATTACCTGTTGTTGTTGTTCCTACTTTTACAGTTGTATCAGGGTAGTCCCATTTTATACCTGTTTTTTTTTTTATTATTATCTCTGTTTGCAATGAAGTCTTTGCTTGCTTTAGAAATCTTTTTGAGGCACTGGAAGGGGACTCAGACCAATCAAAAATGTACAACAGTCTTTGTGAAATAGTCAAATGTACACATTAAAGCATGAAGAACCTATAAAAATATCAGTAAATTTTAAAGTGTAATAATTTTTAATATTGAGTATGTTCACATATCAAGAATACAGAATAATATATGAACACTATTACAAAATGACATAATTTATTACAATTCACTTGTATTGGCTTTGTATCACAGGTTGGAATTGGTTTAAATGTTTTTCCAACCCTTGTAATATAGTTGTTTTTCTTTTTTCCTTTTTGTTGTTTCATTTTTTTAAGTCTTCTTGTTCAAGTTTATTAAAAATTTCATTCATATTTATAATGTCTTGATTGATTACAAAACCATTTTCAGTTTTTTCAATATCCAAACACTGATCTTTCGAGCATGTGCACAAATCACAATATGCACCCCCAACTCCTAAATAAAGATTCCCTGCTTTCATATCCACCATACACAACTGCATAGTAAAGGTGATTACCTAAAATTGTTTTCCTATTTTATTGATAAGGAAACCATTATTTTTTAATTCTTCAATGTCAGAATTAAAGATAGACAATGATTTAAGAGTTTCTCTTGATTCTTTTTCCATTTGAAGACTCAGTGCTCTGCGACTCTGGGGGCATTTGGTGACTTTTACGACCATATTAACAAACCTACTCCTGTTTCAAGTAAAAGTGAATAGAACATTGTCAGTATGATATTGCACTGTTTTTTTCTTAGATGTTTCTAGCTAGGCAATCTATTGAAATCAGCAGTTGAAATTTTTTTTTTGGTTTGTATATGAATACCAAGAGCACTTTATAAATTGATATTGAGCTGTTTCTTTTAAAACCTTAAAAAAGTTATCGTTATGTTTTTCAAAAAAAAGATCATAACCAATATCTGATGCACAAAGGGTTTGGTTAAAGTAATATTCTCAAAGGGTTTGGTTAAAGTAATATTCTCAAGATCGCAAAACTTATTTAAAACTCTTTTCTGATAAATTGATGTTGTCAGATATACTAAATGAGTTTATAAATTTTAATGATTTTATAATAAGCAACTAAAGTTAATACAATTAATTTAAAGTTAATAGCAACTAAAGTTAATACAATTAAGTTAATACAATTAATTATTTAGTCAATACAAATTGTATTAGCAAAATACAATTATTGTTATTGTAGAATATATTTAACTATTTAACTTCTATTGTATGATTACAGTAATCTAAAACATACTTTTCAAGCCAGGTTTCCTTACCAGCCTAAAAGTGTATGCCTCTGGCAGCTGGCATAGCCTATTTTTCTAAATTTATTTTTCTTCAGATGGTGAAGAAAAATAAATTTGAATTAAAAAAAAAATCTTTGCTAGCTGTTCTGAACTATTTTTTTTTTTTATTCAAATGTCAATTCATTAACTATCAGTATACAATCTGTTATATTTGTAGAAATAGTTTTTGGTTGTTTATTTTCCTCAGCAATAAAAATTTCAAATAAGTTGAATTCAATGAGTTTCATTATTATTAAACTAAAGATATAAATAATTTTGTTGATTCATTATCTAATAACTTTTTAAACAAAATCATTTAAACTTAAAACAACATAATATAATTCAAAATATAAAGAAGTTTACGTGTAAAAATATTATTATTTCTACATACACCACAGGACCCTCAGTTTTGATTTTAACTCTTGCAATTAATTTATTTTGAAACAGATATAAATGCTACATTATTTTTTTAATTAATTATTGAAGCAATTTGATTAAATTTGATTGAAAATAGAAATTTAATGGAAAAGAGAACAAGTGGGGCAGTGGTGGTGTTAATTAAAAATTAGTCTTAATTCTTTCTTAATTTCTAGACATAAATTTTTATTGAGCACATCTTTGTTCATTTCTTTGTACAAAATTATGTAAAACTATTTGTATTAACATCTTTAAATATATTTTACAACAATTTAAACTAAAGGGGTAGGCTCATGTTTTTACTTTTTTTTAAAAAAAGTGCTAAGTTGGCACAATTTAGCTAAAAAGCATCTTATTCCCCTCCTTGTTATAGGAATTTAAAAATGTAAATATTGAAAATAAAAAATTGGTTAAAATTAAAAATAAAAATATTATGTAAAAAACACTAAAAATTTAAATTTTTGTTGTTTCGTTACGTATAACATGTAAATAAATTTTTTTGCATTAATCTTATTAATAGTTAACATTTACATTTCCATAACCGCAGTCTAACATTGTTTCTACATAAAATTATCACATTAGCACTGCTTATATAAAGACGTTTATTTTAATATGTAGCCAAAAATGAATTTATGTACCATTTATACCTATTGCCTATCTTTTGCAACAAAATGTTATTCAACTTAGTATAGTTTCTGAACAAACCATGTTTTTAAAATAAATTTTTTTAATGAACTGGAAATTTATTAGGCTTTCAATAACAATAACTTTATTTTGGTACCATTGATTTTTAAGCTATGTCCACTGTTTGTCCCACTGTGACCAGGGTTGTGGTGGATTGTTCACTTATAATGTGAGAGCTTATAAGCGCTCTACCACTACACCACTACTGCATAGTTAATAAAAATTAGGAATGTACTGATACATTTGCATCAGTCCTGGTAACTATTGGCCGCTAGTGATTGTTTTGAGAACATAGTTTTTTTTAGTTTTGTATTTCTATATTGTATGCAAACATAATTATGCCATAAACATAAATAAACAAGCCTACATTATTATATAGGGCCTATATAATTAATTAGGCTTGTACATTGCATTTATATCTATCGAGTTTAGTGGTTGCAGATATGCCTATATTATAGGAATATCTGCAACCACTAAAATTTTCAATATATTTTTTGAACTGTTTTTTTTTAAAATATTGCTATTTAATCTCTATAATATATTCAAAACTTATAAATATCCTTTGTTTCCTAATTTTCAATTTATTTCAATTTTCAATATATATTATATATACTAAATATTATATATATCAAAGTATATTCAAAACTATCCTTTGTTTCCTAATTTTCAATTCTAGGTAATCTTTCTTTAAGAAGTTGTAAAAATTTTTTAAAAATAATAAAAATTTTTTAGATTGTTGCCATGAGTGGAAAAAATATCTCTGGTTCAAAGTTCTTACCATCCACTATATATACTGTAGGTGAATAATATAAGTTTGTTTATAAATAAGTATTGCTTAAATAAATATGAGTTGTGTTTGCAAATGAATAAATGACAATTATATTAGTTAATTTAAAGATTATTTTGTTTGTTTAGCAATTTAAGGTATTAAGTATAATAATTAGGGATTATTTTTTTCAGGGTATTTCCGAAATTCTAGATATTTTTCTCAACTTTTCTTTTTTTTGGGATATGCAAAACGTTTTCCATACATACAAGTTTAGGTGTATATTTTTTTTAATACATTCATGGAAGTATTATAGATGGAAGTGCAACGCTATTGAAATTCCTAAAACCATGTGTGAAATCTTTTGTTCATAATACAATAGAAAGTTGTAAACAATTTCATTAAAGTTGGGCGGCGCTTCTGAAGTATATCAATGCGGTAGTGGTGTAGTGGTAGAGCGCTCGCTTCATAAACGAGTGGTTCCGAGTTCGATCCCCACCACGTCCCTGGTAGTACCGCGCTCAACTCGTTTCTCCGCGCAGCGGCCTTGTTCGTCAAGGTTCGTGTTTCGGAGTTATAGAGTTGAGAGAGGGTTATAGCCACAAATAAGTAGCCTCCTCGTCTGTAGTGGCCTTCTCGGCCTTGAGGAGGTGAATTAAAATAAAAAAAAAAAAAAAAAAAATGTAAAAAAAAAACTTGCTAACTCAAATTTTTTCAAAAAATTCTCTTAAATCAGTCAATATAAAGAATTTTGCTTTATGAACCAGCTAATAGAGATGCACGATAAAGAACAATATAGACAAAATTAAAAAAGCAAAACTGCAAAATTATATTTTTATTTCTATACTAAACTTGTTTAACAAAAGCAAAGTTTTAAGTATACAAATAAATTATGATATAAAATAGATAATTATAGTTCAAGACATAATTTTTACTCTTTTTGATTTAAAAAAGTATGCACCCTTCCTTCTGCAACTAAATTTAGAAGCAATTTTGACTGAATAAATTAAATACGTTCTTCTCTGAGTTTATACCCAATTTAAAGACCAACATCATCAAAAACATGCTAAGACCCTATTCATATATATTTAATGTAACTACGTCATCACATAATCTTTAACCTAAAAAAGGTTTTAATGACTTATAATTTTAAAATTCATAAAATCATATTCCTTTGAGATAAAAAAAATAATGATGATTATCATCATCATGATTGTCATCACCACCATCTTCATAATAATAATAATCATTGCCATCATCATCATCATCATCAAAATCATCATCATCATTATTGTAATCATTAAACTTACCACTAGATTTTGAGAATTTTGGTTCCAATGAGAGTTTTTAGAATTATTTAGTAGTAAGTTAATTAAGTAGTAGTTTTGATTAAATGAGAGACATAACAAAGGTGTATATTTCATGATTATTCAAACTAGAAATATTTATAAAAATGATTTTTTCTTATACTTTTTTTCAATAATACTTTAATATATATTAATAAACAAAAATAATTTTGTCCAAATTGTTGTTATTAAACAACAAAATTTATAAAGATAAAAAATCCTTAAAAAAAATCTTTAAAAAAAAAAAAAATTGAAATATTAACCTAAACATCAAATATCTCCAATAAACACTATTCTTAACATTTTTGTTAATTTTCATTTTGGATTTCTTTTTTGTTTAACAAAGCATTATTGTGAACTTTTATAGTTCTTTCCTTATTTTTTGTGCAACTGTAGCTAACTTTAATTGTATTTCGTATTCCAATATTTAAAAATTTTTTTCTTAAAAATATTTTGGTTTTCAAATCAAATGAACGTAAATTTAAAAATCGTGAACTTTCTTGATGTCACATATAACCTCCCTGAAAATTCATATAAGCCTTTCAAAAAACCAAACGATGAATTATTGTATATTAATATTAACTCAAATCATCCACCCCAAATTCTAAAACAAATTCCGATTACAATTAATAACAGGCTAAACCAAAACTCCTCTAATGAAAACATATTTGATTTCTCTAAACAAATATTTGAGGATGCCCTTAAAAAAAGTGGTTTTGAAAATTTTGAACTAAAATTTGACTCTGAAAAAAAGCGTACAAAAAAGCGAAATAGAACTAGAAATGTAATTTGGTTCAACCCCCCATATAGCAAAAATGTTTCCACTAACATAGGTAATGTTTTTTTTAAATTAGTCAATAAGCATTTCCTGCCCTCTAATAAATTACATAAATTTTTAATCGCAATACAATTAAAGTTAGCTACAGTGTCACAAAAAATATGGAAAGAATTATAAAAGGTCACAATAATGTTTTGTTAAACAAAAAAGAAATCCTAAATGAAAAAACAACAGAAAATTATAATTGTAAACAAAAAAAATAATTGTCCAATGAGTGAAAGTTGTTTATCTAAAAATGTGGTATATAAATGTGTTCTTTCTTCTAAAAATGTACCTGATAAACATTATATTGGTATAACAGAGGGTGAATGGAAAAAATGTTTTGCCAATCATAAGCAATCCTTTAAAAATAAAAAGTATTCAAAAGACACCATGCTGTCAAAATACATACGGGAGTTAAAAAATAAAAATATTGATGATTTTATAATGAATTGGTCCATCCTTAAAACAGCACCTGCATATAACAATATTTCCAAAAAATGCATACTATGTCTATAAGAAAAATTTGAAATTATTACACATGCAAACCAAGAATGTTTATTAAACAAAAAATCAGAATTAATTTCTAAATGCAGGCATGAAAATAAGTTTCTCCTAAAAAACTATTTTATTTAACTAAACAACAAGTGAGCTCAAATTATAATTACATTAAATCCCCCCTTTTTAAAAAATGTTTTTTAAAAAAAAGCAGAAGTAATCAATTCTAAAGAATTCTTTTTATAATAGTGTCAGCATATTCCACAAATGTATGAAAATTTACAGTAGTTATGACATTTGCGACTTCCTGTAATTTAATTTTTTTGGTATAAATTGAAGTTTTACTAATTTGATCATTAATTTCTGATGAGTCTTTATTGATGAAACATAGTGTTAAATGAAAAAAAATTTTGCTAAGTGATTTTCTACTACTTTATTATTGCTCTGTTCTTTTAAGTCTTAAAATTAAGTCTTAAATTAAGAACATTGAGCACTCTATTTTATAGAATACATTTTAAAATTGTTTATATATATATATATATATATATATATATATATATATATATATATATATATATATATATATATATATATATATATATATATATATATAATTGTAACATAATTTTATATAAATATATTTTATATATACTTATAATAATATATATGCATATAATTTTACTCAAAGATAATTTTAAAATATATATAACTTTAACTGAATTTCACCAAATATACATTCAAAATATAATGTAGAAATAAATTTTTTCTAAGTAATGAGCCAATATTATTATTGTTATTGATGCGTGTTTATCGAGACAAATAAAATTAAATTGAGCTGTCAAATTTCAAAAAGTTTGTTTTTGAGAGGAACTTAAAGTTTAATGAATGGACATGAATGGGGATGAATGGTGCTAATATATACTTTAAAAGGTATTTTTAACATTGAAAAAACAAATACTTTTTTTTTTTCAATGGAAACGTTAATATGTATGGTTTTTAGGTATGTGACAGAATATACTTTTGAACCAAGAGCCATAAGCTAAACCATCTTTTTACTCATAAAAATCAGTATCTTTATTTAAATTATAGAACTAACTATTTGGCAACATTCCAGCTAACTTCTAAACTATTTTTTATTTATATAAGCATGAAGTATCTGTTTAAAACATCATTAACTTAAAATTTAAATTAATGCTTAGGCGTAAATAATAAGCCATTTTTTTTAAATATCGTTCATTTGCCGAATGTTTATATTTCACGCATGGTTTTTGTGACGGTATTCGGAGCCTTTGATATTTTTAAGCGTTGCACTTCCATCTATAATACTTCCATGATACATTTGTTTTTTAAGCTTTCTCACTCATTACTCATACAAAAATTATAAAATGTTTAGAATAAAAAATTTAAAACAACTCAGCTAAAAGCAAAATTAAGAGGAAAATAAGAAAAAAATATATTCCGGATATTTTGCTCAAACAATTATCCGAATTTCTAAAATATAACCTATATGATCTATGAATAACATAAAAATTATTTATTGGTTAAATTTTAAATTTATAGCCCTTACCTATACTCATTGCTCTGTGACCCTGTTAACATGCTCAATACCCTGTGTGTTTTGCTCATATTAAAGAAAATGTTAAACAAAAATATTTAGGCTAACTTTTTTTGATTAAAGCTAAATACTAAACTCAAATGTACTTAAACTAAACTTGTTTATTTTATTATTTAGATATATTTAAGTATATTTTGTAAATATTTTAGTTGCGTATTTTCACTTAATGAAATTTATATAATTTTTAGATAATTTTAAGAATATACTAATATTAAATTTATTTTGTAAAGCTTGTATTAATTATTTTATCTACTTAAAGTTTGTAAAGTGACAAAAATGCAATGATCATAGGTGAAAATTAAAACAAAGTGCAGCATTATTTTTTTATTAATATTCATTAGATTTTCTAGAAGCACCTAAATAAACTTTTCTAGTTAAAAAAAAGTATAACAATTTGTCAAATATAAAGTATATATTAATTTTAAAGTAATAAGTTGTTAAATTTAAAAAAATGTTAATGATTGTTATGTTTCTGCATCCTCATATTTGAGAAACAGTTATTCACAATGTTTAGACTAAATGAAAGTCAGAAATGTATTTAAATAGTAATTTTTATAGTTAATTCTATTTTTAGTATTATCAATTATTCTTATTTTAAATTCTTAACTTTAATTTTAATTTTGACTATATTTTCTTTTTTAATATATATATTTTTAGATTGCATCATAATTTCATTAGTTTATTGTAATTATAAAGTTAATACTATTAAGTTAAAACAAATTTCTGATAAAAATTTTTTTTTTTTAGGGGTGTCGGTTGCCTTTTTACAGTGCCATTAATAAAGTTGATGCTATAGATGAAAGTAATTATTTGTTTTTTAACTTTTTTTTTTGTAATTTTTAAAGTTTTTTTATATATTTTTTATTTCTTTTATATGATTAATGCTCTTGTTATGAAATGTTGCAGCTGTTAATATTTAATATAGCTGTTGATACATAATATAGCTATTGATAGATAGTGCAACTGTTGATACAGAATGTAGCTATTGATACATAATATAGCTTTTGACACATAATGTAACTGTTGTAACATGATATAGCTGTTAATATAGAATATAGCTGTTGGTACATGATATAGCTGCTGATACATAATGTAACTGTTGGTACAGAATGTAGCTGTTGATACAGAGTGTAGCTGTTGATACAGAATATACCTGATGATACAAAATGTAGTTGTTGATACATAATATGCCTGTTGGTACATAATGTAGCTGTTGATACGTAAAATTAATTCACAGCTACATTCTGTATGAATGTAGCTGTGAATTAATTTTAAAACATAAAATAAAAAGATGTATTTTAAATCTAGTAAAACAACAATTAAGCAAATCAAATAAATACTTAAAAAATAATATCTTAATTAAAGAGTATCTTAATTACATTATTATAAATAATTCAATACAGTATATAATATTAATATTATATGATTAATAATATATATTATGTATAAAATATATATAAAAAAAAGTAAAACTTTTTTAACTTTAAACATATTCGACATATCTCAAATGTTTTTTAAAGTATTTTATTAAAAAAATATTATTACTTTTTTTTAATACCGAATTATGTTTTTAACAATCACCAATAAATATTTTAAACTTTCACAGGTAACCATGCATTAAAAAGCTAAGAAATTTTTAAAACATTTTGTTATGCATCACAACGCATTCTCAATTTTGTTTTAAATTCATTAACTTACTTAGCTCATACACAGTAAACATATTTTAGTTGTGTGCTGAATATTTACTTCAATTGTTTTAGTGATTTTGTGTATATAAATGTTATGAATTAAATAATACTATTATTTTTATAACTTTAATTTGTTTAAAGTTATGTTTACCTCGGTGACATGTCAAGAATGTTAATAATAATGTGACATCTTTTCTGGTCAGTTTTTTTGACAATAATTTTTGAAGGCTAATAAATCCATATTTTTTGTTTGTAAATTTCTAAAAAAATCTAAAACTTTTAAAGAGATTTTAATTGCTTTTTTTTTTAAATTTGCGGAAGAATTTTTCGGTGGACTTTTTCAACAAATAATTTATTGTTTTCAACTTCATTTAAGTTATTTTCCCATACTGATTATGAAGTTCTAAACTAGTTTCCCCATCACATGTTTCTTCATAAAAATCTCACTTTTCTTATAAAAAGTATCTACCACAGCCAGATAAATGTGTGATTCATGGATTGCATGTACTGAGCAGGACTTTTAAGCCTAAACTTACACATAAAACTTGTTAAAATATACACATAAAATGTTTTTTAAAAGTGATACCATGTTCTTCTAAATGTTGGTTGACATTTTTTGAGTCTCTATGGCATCACAACTTCCTACTCTTCAAACTAGCCCAATTAAAAAGGCTAATTTATTTTTATAGATGTTATCTATAAAATATCATTTGTTGGCAAGACTTGTCTACTCCTTGAGAGTTAGGGTTTATCTTTAACCACTGCCTTTTAAAAGAACTTTTGTTATTCCATCCAAGGTTGCGAAACCATCCTCAGAAACTAATCTTGTGACAAGTTGCTTCTTCTACAAGAAAATATTGAAAAATTGAATTATTAATACTTTTTTTGTGTGTGAATTTATTTACTAAAAATGGAACTGCTTTATTTTGAATGCTTATCAGTAAGATCCAACAAATGTTATAACTTTAAATGATTTGACATGGATGTAGTAGTGGGTCGTTTTCAGGTTACCTTTTGTACATAAAGATTCTTCTTTTTCTTCTGTTTCTTCTAAAATAATCCCAAACCTCTTTAGAATTTCGATTAGATATAAATAAGTGTTAAAAATATTTTTAGTTTAGTTCAGTAAACATTACTATTGTATAAATATTACAATGATAACATTTGTTATTTGATTATTTTTATGCAAAAAAGTATTAATTTAAAAATGTTACCCAATAAAGTTTTTCAACAAAGAAATTAATATACTTGTATAAATATTACCACATGTTATAAGTATCACTTGTTCTCACTTTTTTAATATTTTAACTTGTATTACATGGCGCAAGAAAAATACTTTTAGCACAAGCCATTAACATTTGTAAGTGAAATTATTGTTATAAAGTTAAAAAGTTTTAAAGATTCAAAATGTTTTTTTTTAAGTATGAATTAACATAATAATAATAGAAACTTTAAGTATGAATTAACATAAATTAAAAGTTAACATAAATTAAAAATTAACTTGTATGAATTAACATAAATTAAAAGTTAATATTAACATGAGTTAACATTTAGTTTTAAATGAATAATGATAAGTAGTAAGTCTAATTAATCAAATATTACGCTACAAATATATTCAGGTTTTAATCTTACAGCAAATAAAAACATTGTAGACAGAAGTTTGATGCCAATAGAAGATCTAGATTGGCTTTATTGGAAGTAGGAGGACAAACTTTTATTAAAACATTTCATAATTACTGATTATCACAAATAGAAAGTGTAATCACCAAAAAATCTTCAACAGTTACTAAAAAAGCAAGCCTTGATTTCCCAACAACTCTTATCCTGGAATCTACAAACTGGAGTCTTCACGTGGGAAATTTTGTTGGTGAAACTAAGTTCATTAATACATTAGAAAAATACAATATCGTCAGTGACATTGGTTTAAATAAAAATAACAATGATAAATTCACATCGCCGTTTTATAAACCATGATATTTTTATTTAAGATGTAACACTGCATTGAAGATTTAATATTTGTTTGGTTTTTTAAAGGTTTTTTATAAAAACATAAATAATGGGTATTTATAGAACCCCTAGAAATATTGTTATAATTTTTTTTCTTAATAAGGAAAAAGTTAATCAACCATAAAATGATGTTTTAATTTAATTTTATTTCAGAAATTTTCAAGATGTTAACATATAAACTTGCTTGTCTCTTATACTACTTACACAAAATTTTGAGAAATTTTTATCAAAAAAAAACTGTTACATATAATTATATTTTAATATAATTAAATGTAACAATTATATATATTGTTACATTGATGTTTAACAACAACTATATAATTATAAAGTTGTTGTTAAACATCAATGTTTTTCCAGATCCGTTTACAATATATGTTGCATGTGGACCTTTTTCTACATGCGATGAAACAACATTATCATACAATCCATTGGAAGATCTTTTGTCAGTGGTGTTAAAAGAAGCACCTGATATTCTTTTAATGGTAAGTTTTATTATGTTGTTTATTGTTTTGAGAACATAATATCAAATAATAAAGTATAATTATCAAATAATAAAATGCTTATCTAAAGTATTAATACATGGTTCTATACTTTATATATACATTTGGAAAGTGTTAGACATTGCTGACTGAAATTTAATATTGATTTTCATCTATATTTTGAATCAAAACATAATAACATTAATTCATACACAGTTTATAAACAGTTCTTGAGTTGTAATTAATTTCCAGTTTCTTCTTGAACTGTAATGTTAATTTTTAGTTCTTCTTGAACTAAAAGATTGCTAATGTTTTGAACTACCAGCTGCATGGTTGGGAAACCTAGGATTTTTTTAAAAATAACCAACCCTGAAACCCAAAAAAGCCCTTTTTTTTATTTTTTTTTTATTTTGATTTTTAAGGTTTTTTAAAAACTGATCTTAATTACCAATTTTTGTTATTGTATCTGTACTATAATTTTTTTTTCAGCTTTATAAACTTGTTAAGCAACTTATATGATAAGTTTATGATAACTTATCTTATGACTTATAAGTTGATGATAACTTATCTTATGACTTATAAGTTGATGATATTTTAAATGCAAGTTATAACTACTTGAATTTTAAATATCATCACATTAAACACAAAAAACCATATAACCCACAGCAGTATAATTTATACGGCACAATATAGTGTGAACACGATAGAAAATCACTTTTTAAAAAATGACGCAAAAAAGCTTTAAATTGATAATGCACGTGAGGGATAACTATCAAAATTAAAAAAAAAGGAAGAATAGGGAAGCTTTACGTTTTAATTGTGTGTGTGTGTGTGTGTGTGTGTGTGTGTGTGTGTGTGTGTGTGTGTGTGTGTGTGTGTGTGTGTGTGTGTGTGTCTATATATATATATATATATATATATATATATATATATATATATATATATATATATATATATATATATATATATATATTTATTTTTTTAATTTATTTGCATAATATTAGCTTGGACCATTTGTTGATGTAAAGCAGCCTTTAATAGAGGTATTTTTGTTTTTTAATAATTAAAATGTTTTTGTTTTTTTATAATTCTATTTAAAAATTTTGATCTTGTTTTCGTTTATAAACAAAAATTAAAGTTTTATAGATTAATTTTTTTATATATAATTTAGTTTCTATATATAATAAAGTTTTCTTTAGAGAGGAGATATTGATCAAACCTTTGAAGAACTCTTTCAATATTGTTATCATCAAGTTTTGGCTGCTGTTAAAAAGTGACATTTAATGTTTTATGCTTTCTGATATATGAAATATTTTAGTCAATAAAATAATACAATTATTTACTATCTATATTCTCTTTTTTTTCTCTTTGTTTTTTTTTTTTTATTATCAGTAAAAAATTTGATTTTTTTTTACAGCATAAGGACTAAGGTTTTATTTGTTCCCTCTCAAAGAGATGTATTTCACACTTTTGTTTATCCACAACCTCCATTTGAAGTTGTTGCGGATGGTGAGAAGGTATTTTAAATTATGGCACAAAATTATTTAAGTTTTTTTCATATTTATAAAGAAGAATTTCTTTATTATTACAAAAAAAAAAAAATTATGGAAAATATAATTTATTTGTAAATCCTTAGATCGAAAAAGATTTCAGAGTAGAAGTAATATAAAGGTTAAAATAATATAAAGAATATAAAGTTATATTTATAGGAATATAAAGCAACTATTTGTTTTAATATAATCTCATGACGTTCTTTTATTAGAACCTTTTCATAAAATGAAAAAACTTTAACAATATATTTGCATAAAATAAAATTATAGTTTTTACATATAATTAATATAAACTTTAAATTTAAAAAGTTTTTCCATAAAAATAATAAGAAATTTTTTTTGTTAAAAATTTTTTCAATGGATTTCTTGTAGATTCAAATGATGTCTGATCCATGCACTCTCATGATCAATGATGTTTGTTTTGGCATTACATCTACTGACATTTTGTTTCACTTAGGTGGAGAGGAAGTATCATCTTAGTAATTTCTTTGTTCAATCTTGTTAGTTAACTTTCCTTTTTTATGTAAAACAAGTTGTTAATTGAAGTTAACCAATCATTTAAATAATTGCACACAATTAGCCAATCTTATGAGTTTTATAAGAAAGAAATTTTTTTACAAATGTAATCATAAAGGAAGTATCATTCAAAAAAATTTTATTTAACTTATTCTTGTAGTCTAAATAGTTATTTTAAAAAGTTCATGCGAAGATTCTTTGCATAAGTGTTGTTATGCAAAACAGTAATTTTTTAAAACTGCCAACAAAAATTTTCTTTAATGATGAATATAAAACCTAGAATAAACGTTTAACATGCTTATATTATACGTATTAACCAGAATAAACGTATAATTCACGTGTAATATACGTATTATCCAGAATAAAACCTTGTGTTGTTAAATAATTTTATGGTTAGGGATATAAATTCATAAATTAAGCAACGCAAAATATATTTTAAAAATAGAAGTAAGAGATATCGAGCTGTTATACGTGGCGGTTTTCATGCTATTTTGATTTTTTATTTAAATTAAGACTCAGCGAGGGAAGGCTTTTGATCTTTTTTTGTTTTATTTATTATGAAAGTTACGTAATTTATGGACAATCCCTTATTCAATCCAACTGTTATTCAAATTTGAACACTTGTTTACGATGTGAACCACTAGTTTACGTCGTAAGCAAGCTTTCTTTTTTTCGTTCAATGTAGCGCTGTACGATCTGACCGCCTAGGAAGACTCGTTGATCATTTATTACAACAGCAGTGGTAAAGTATTTTTGTTTAAATTTTAATGTATTTTGTATATAGCATTTTTTACAAATCAAAATCATTTTAGTTAAATATTTAAAAGACAGGTTGTTGTTTTTTTAGCTATTATCCCTTGCATCCATCATCTGAAGATGTAAATTTGGATTACGAAAAATTTGAATCCTATGCCTTTATGCCAGTGACACCTGATATTCTTGTTTTACCTTCCGATTTAAGATATTTTATAAAGGTAGGGATAACTTGTTATTAGTTGTAAACATAAGTTTGTGCAAGAACTAAAAAGAAACATGTTACATTTAGGATTTAGAAGGTTGTTTGTGCATAAATCCAGGTCGTTTGGTCAAAGGGCAAACAGGTGGAACTTTTCTCAAGTTGTTAGTAAAACCACGGAAACCTCAAAATTTGAATAAATCATCAGCGGTCACTGACAGCGTTGCACATATTGTGCGAATATAACTTACAGAAATTTAATTATTTTATTATATTTTATTATTTATTATATTTTTCTTTCTTTAGGATAGCTTCATTTATGCTTCTAATTATGCATAGTGACGAGGTTTTTAACGAATAACAATTTTTAGGATATCAGTTTAAGTAAATGAATTACTTTAACTGGTTAATTTAATAAAGTTATTTATAATAATAATTTATTGCTCCAATTAAAAAGCATTGTTTACTACAATAATACAATATCTTGCATATCTTTAACTTAGTTAATTAAATTGAAAATGATGATTTTGAGTTTGTTTGAACTTTTTTGTTCGAAATTTTAAAATCTTTTTTACCATACCCTACTTTATTTATACGGTCGAGTATTTTTAAGGCCAGTTTTTTAAATCGTAATGTTTCAAAAACTTAAAGTCCAAAAGAGTCATAAAAGTTTAACAAATATACTAAAGCTTGTTGTGCATGTAGTTTCTTTATTTTGTTATAAGAGTAGTCAATCAAAGTATGTGCAAAAATAAAGTGATGGTGAAGGAATAGTGAGACCACCCCTAGAAATAATTGTTAAATAAGTATGATTAGGATTGGTTTCATCAAGCTGCAGATGTAGTTTCATCGAAAGTTGCAAGTGCTAAAGAAACACTTTGTTTAAAATTGCCAGATTTAACTGGAAACTGAAAGTAGGTTTACCGTATAAATAAAGTAGGCAATGGTAAAACCTACTTTCATTAGTATTTTTGGTGCCTTACGAAAATCAGCATCAAGAGCGAGGTCTTTTTCATAAATATTGTGGAAGGTGCTCCATTTAATTTCTTCCCCGTATGCAATTATAGAATCTTTAAATCCATTAAAACTTAAAATCTGGAAGTAAAATTTTTTTACAATTTAACAAGTTATTATGATATTTTTAATAAAACGTCCAACATAAAAATAAAGGTTAATTTTTTTAAAATTGTTTAATAAAAAAGCTTGTTGATTCAATGCTCAAAGGATTTTTTTAAAACAAGAAACAGAGGAATGGTTGTTACAAACAATAACTCTAACATTAAATTCACATTCAGTTAGAACTTAAAATAAGTTAAAAGATTATAATAGAAATAAGAAGATAGTTCACAACGCAACATTTGTTAACCATCTCTTTGAACTTCCAAAGCTGCTTCTTTAAAAACACTTTACGAGAAAACTGGTCATTCTTTTTTTTTTCTTCATAATGCAAAATATCCAGTCCATAATATATAAATAAAGTGGATCATGTTTTTATTTTCGTTTATACTTGTGGTTGAAAAGTTTTTTCTTGTCAAGTATAAGTTTCCGACCACCAGAAAACATAGCATTCATAAAGTACGTATTTTGTAAAACAACTGTTTTTTTTTCGGATAACCTTCCTCTTAAACGCAAAAAATTGAAAACCATATAAAAATTTATTACATAAAAAATAGTAACACTCAAAGTTTGACAACACCATAAATAATTGTCTCCAAAAAACGTGATTATGTAGTTTTAAAATTGCATTATTGTGTAATATTTAAAAGGATTCGAACGATTTTTAGGTTCTCATGAGACACTTCAAACAAACCAAACTACGTAAAATTTCAAAACCCAAGTTAAAGTCTTAATTCGGATAATTTCAATTCGTTTTAAATATTTTCTATACAACTATCAATTCGGCTTTAAAAGAAATAATTCCACAGAACATGCAGTTATTTACATTGTACGTGAAATCTCTTTCTTTTGAAAAGTCTAACTATACATTAGATGTTTTCATCTACCTTTCGAAAGCATTCAATACTGTTGATCAAGAAATTTTACTACACAAGCTAAAACTGGTTCAAAAGTTATCTACCCAACCGTAAACATTTTGTTTTCAGCAATAATGATCATCCAAATAAGTTTCTAAATATTTCATGTGGCGTTCACAAGGTTCCATTTTGGGACCACTATTATTCTTAATTTATATAAACAATCTAAATATAGCCTCGACGTGATGAGTATCATGTTTGCTGATGACACTAACTTATTCTTTTCCGATAATGACATTTACAAACTCTTCTATACTATGAATGATGAACTTAAAGTATATCCAATTGGTTTAAATGCAACAATCTAACTCTTAACATTAAAAAAACAGATTGGGTTCTTTTCTACCCAGTCTCATAAAAGGCTTATTTACCCTGAAATTAGCCTAAATTTTTTACTGATGATGTTGAAAAAAAAGACATAATGAAACAAAGTTTTCAGGTCTTTTTTCTTGATGAAAACATCACATGGAAAACGCATATCGACTATATTGATACAAAAATTTCTATAAATATTGGAATTTTATTTAAAACCAGACCATATTTATGTAAAAAAAGTCTAACCCAACTTTATTACTCATTAATTCATAGTTATTTAAATTATGCTAATGTTGCATGGGTAAGTGCTGCAACAAGTAAGTTGAAATGCCTTTATCGCCGGCAGAAATATGCGATCTGTTTAATAAATTGTGCGGATCGATATACTCATTCCAAACTATTTTTTATTGAAATGAAAGTTCTCAATATTAAGCTTAATGTTTTTAATATTTTGTGCTTTATTTATATGTGGAAAAATGACATATCTTTACCCGTTTTCAAAGATCTCTTTTGTTTGAAACCATAAAATAAATATACCTATAGAAACAATAACTTTATATATGAGCCCTTTTGTCGAACAAAGTTTAATCAGTTTTGTATTGCATAACTTTGGAATAAAATTGTTTTGTCCAATTTTGACATTCATTTTACTTTTCAAATATAAACTAAAAAATTTAATTATCTAATTAAAATATAAAAAATAATATAAACGCATCCCGGATTCCTACGATATAATGTTTTAAAATGACGTAATGTTCGCGGGCAATGATTAAACGGAAACGTTAAAATTTAGTAGCTATTAGTATTTTTTTAAATATGTGTGATTTTGTCTGTTCCACATTGACAAAAGTTGAAAAACTTGATTTTGGAGGCAGTTTTGCATTCTGGAATACAGCTTATTGCTGTATTCCAGAATGCAAAAGTGCATTATACGATTCTTAAGGAAACAAGTCAGGCATCGGATTATTTAAAGTTCCTAAGGACACTGCTCGTCGTAATAAGTGGTCTAAAATTATTTCTCAGTTTAGAAGAGTTTCCTTACAACATCACAATTATTTCACCAAATTATCTTATAAAATTTATTATCATAAAATATATATAAAACATATACTTTGTATTTAACAGATTGTGCTTGACAATATATTTTTAATGTTTTGTATATGTATACATTTACTGTTGTTTTCTCTTTGACTATATATTATGTCAAGAGAAGGAATTGTAACAATAGTTTATAAAGTTGTAAAAAATCATGAAAAAAAAAAAAAAAAGAAAAAGAAAATGGGTAATGGGCAATGACAATTTCGTTATAAAGGATACAACTTTAGCTTGCGAGCTTCATTTTAAAGTTGAAGATATTCCATTATCAACAAATATTGGCAGAAAAACTCTCATAAAGGTAGCATTCTCATCTGTTTTTCAATTTAAAAAGCAAATTGATGTAAAAAAAGTCTTCTCCTAGAAAAAGAAAACTACTTAAAAATTTTGAAAACGTTTCTAAAAACGAAGATATTAAAATTAATAACAAAGTATAGTTAATTGACTTTGAGGTTGACAGCAGTCTAAAAAAAAGCTGTTGTCACGACAACATAAAATTGATATATTGGAAAAAGAAAAACAAGAGATATCTAAAATGCGCTATTAAGAATCTGCAAACAAAATAATAAAAAATCAATTAAATCAATATAAAAGAAAATATATTCATAGTTTTGAAAATATGTCAACAGACAAAAAATTGTTTCAAAAGTATACTGGCATTGAGCGTAAACAGTTTACTAATTAGTACAAACTTTTACATCCAGGAAATAATGGAGAAAACATTAAATATTACAACTCACCACTATCCAAAAAAATTAATATTTTAGTCAATGAGGAAAAATCCGGTCCAAAACCAAAATTAAACACAAAAGATCAGATATATATGTTTTTAGATTTACAATTTTTCACACTTCTTTGTTATTCAAAATATCAAAATCTACAACATCACGTTATTTAATAACATGGACAAATTTTTTATATTTTTCATTGGGAAGTGTTCTTATTTGGCCATCACGGGAACAAGTTGATGTTCTTTATTCTCCAATTATAAACATCATGTAACTTTTAAAAGGTTGTTAGGTATTTCTCCATCGATGGAGAAATACCTAAATACCTATGGTAAACCCACGATCGGCCATAACTGTTATAAAAGTTATAGCTCCTGATGCATCAGGAGCTATAACTTTCATAAGTCAACTTTATGATGGATCTATTTCTGACAAAGAAATTGTTATAATGTCGGGTTTTCTTAATAAAGAACTATGGGATGAAAATGATTCAGTTATGGCCGATCGTGGGTTTACCATCTCAGATAATTTGAAAACAATCAATGTTAAATTAAACATACCATTTTTTTAAAACGGACAATTACAGCTATGTAAAGAAGATGCAATAGAAAGTCAAACTATAGCATCTTTGAGAATTCATGTAGAACGAGTTATACGCAGAATAAAAGTATTTCGCCAAATAAATCAAGAAATTCCTTTAGCGTTTCATGGGTCGATTAACCAACTATGGACAGTCACTTGTCTTTTATGTAACTTTTTTTTTTTTTCATATATGTGTTTAAGTGCTCCCAGAAGTCCTTACGATCTTATCATAGAGCACCGCGGCAGAGCATTTAACAGGAAGTTCACACCTCTTTCCGTACCAATATCGCTTGTCGGGCTAGAGCTGGCGTCGAACCTGGGACCTCTGGGTTCTGAGCCAGAACTCTAACCACTGCGCCACGGCTGCTTCAAACTTTCTCCCACCACTCATCGAAAATCAAAAACCAAAACATTTATTTACATGGATATTATTTCTTGAATGTTAACGCTGTTATCCAATATTTGTGGTAGAAAATAGTTAATGTAAAAATTATTTAATTTTGTAACTAATTCAAAAAAGAACTGATTGTCAA